TATTGTAGGAAAATTCAACTACCCGTCTTTCATCACTTTAAACGAAATATGGTGAATACATCTCATAAATAAATAAAGACATATATATATATATATATATATACAAACATTGGTAGTATATAAACCTACCTATAAACGAAAATAGCAAAGAATCTGCCTTATAATAATGAAAGCCTACTAAAAAAAAGCGTTGTTATAAACTTTTAGGAGCGTTGTGACCTAGTGTTATTCGATAAATATAGCCAATTGGTTGAATAGTGCATCTTTGCAAGGATAACCCGCTCTCGATTCTTACTATATGAGTTAAGGTATGCTGGAATACAATTTCAGACAAGAAAGTAACTATGTGAAAAATAAATGTATTTTATTTCGTAGTAAGAAACCCAAGTATAATTTCTCAAAACGCCCCGATCACTTGCAGTAAACATTGTTTAGAATAAGAGAGCTTCTATTCCATAGATAGTTTGCTTTCTTCTATAGTATCGATATATAAATGAACTGCAAGCATGCTAAAAATAATACAAAATAAGTTAATGGCCATAATAAGATGCTAACCACTGGTGGTAGAGCGATGCCGACAAATAAATCGTAGGTGGGTTCCGTGTGGAAGGCCAGCCAGCTGCTCCACACCTGCCAGTTGAGCGTGGGAGTCGACGGATTCACTCGCCTCCGGTGTACAAGGACGATGGGATTCCAACCCATAGACGCCAATCTCATCATATCCATTTCCGAAACCGGAAATCGAGGAAGCATCAAGGTTGGCAGAAGGACAGACCGGCAGGGGGATGCTCAATACCTCAGACCATTGGGGCCGATTTTTATGGTAATAAACCATAGAGCGAAATTCTGAAAACCTACGGCCACATGCGTCTGACCATTCTAGCTAAGGATGAAAAATATATTTTAAGGGTTATTGAAAACAGATAAATGGCAAATGTGACTAGCAAAATGTATTTTTCTAGGCATAATAGTATAAAAACAAAGGATTAATTCATTTCCTAAGGATCCCAACATCCTAGGAAAAATATAGTAATTCTAATACACAGATAAAAAAGGAGAAAAAATAATCAATATAAATAGCATAAGTGATTAATAAATGGCAAATCAAATTAATTAGGTTGAGACTATATTTTTGGCCCTGTCACGAACAGAGCTAGGAAGCTAGAAAGCAACAGAGAAATGTATGATGATTTTTAAATTGCAACTTGGAGGCGATTCGAGTAATCCTTAAAAAATAATAAGATTTACAGATAAGATAAGAAATAAGAGCAGCCAAACTATCGCTGTTGTGAGTAAAACGAAAACAAATAAACTGAAAATATTCGGATTTAATTTTAAATGCGTAAGTAGTAAGAATTAGATGTATCCAATAATCATGTTGTTCATCTGCTTTGCCCTGATCAATACGAGCAGGCATAATGTATAAGGAATAAGTTTAAGGTAGGATAAGAGGGAGTATCACTCATATTAGCCTAGGCGAAGGTCAACAATGCACTATAAAGCAGAAACGG